TCAAAATGTAGCCCCTGTATTGGCTAGTATGTAGCCAATGTAGTTGTTTCAAAAATGAAAACAGGAAAACAGCTAACGAGAATGATGCGATTGTAGCCTTCACTATAAATTATCATCCGGAGCTAGAAACATTTTGGCAGAGTAGGCCAAGGACCAAAGAAATAATTTTCTGAACCAGTCATTACAAGAGACTGGGATAAGCAAAGCAAGCTGTCTGATACCACATTATGGGAATATATTGATCCTTACCAGGTTGCGAGGTGGAAAACGACTGTTCTTTAACCCCTACACAACGGAGCCTGGCAGGGCAACCACCTAAAAGAGAAACTGTCAGAGAGGTTTTAATAGTAATGTATAACTGAGATGCAGTACAATTTTATATGCATGCTTTCTTTTGCCGATCATTACTATTTTCTTAAGTCTGTCCAGTGACGATGTCATAATGGAGGTTTTGTTTGGTTTTCTAAGCAAGCATTTTCGGCTCCTCAGGATAAGCAGGCTAGACATTATCTGACTCAAGACCGGGTAGTCAGCATTATCTTTACTGCGAAGCGGAGCCGAGCGCACCTTCATGCATCAAGTCGGCATGATCTTTTCACCCAAGTGCTGCGAACGGCTCTGGCGGCACCTCCGCGTGTGCACCACGCGCGTCAGTCTGCACGACCACCGTCGCACTGCTGCACACAGCTCTGCGCGACTCCCATCGCCAAACAGGCTCACACCACTACCGTCCACACGCCAGATTTACAGGACCTTAAACCGAGGCCACCGTCTGGCTCCCAACGTGCCGTTCGAGAGAATTTCTGTTACCCTGGCCACTTAAGTAAGCGCCAGGTTCCCCTCCTTTGCATCTCCCCCAATACCACCCCATCACCACTGTATGGATTCTTTTCCTCCGCACCATCGCCTGCTTCCTCCGCCGCGACGCGAGGCCCTTACGGGTGAGAACCCCACGAGTACTTGCAGCAGGTACTTGACCCTACATTTTGAAGGAGGCCGCTGCCCGCCGAGCACAGATGGAGCAGAACTCCACCGACACCTGATCCCGGTCCACGTGCAGGCAGATCCCGCCGGGGGCCGCCCACTCCTCCTCCGTCCCAGTCACCGCCGCCGCCTCCTCCAGCCCGCGGGGCCGGGAGCTGGGCAGGGCGTAGTCGTGGTCGCTGCTCTCGCCGGCGGGCTGGAGGTGCTGGTGCTGGCGGCGGGGGCCGCCCGTGTCCCTGAAGAGGCTGGTGCCGAGCTGCAGCCCGCCGGCGCGGGTCCCGGTCAGGCGGCTCAGGAGCTGCCCCAGCGCGCTCTGGTTGGCCAGCACAGCCCGCAGGTAGCTGCTCTCCCGCTCCAGCTCTCGCAGGCGGCGGCTCAGGCCGCGGTTGCGGTCCCGCAGCTGCCGGTTCTCGGCAGCCAGGCCCTGCAGGCGGCTCTCCAGCCCCAGCACATACTGCTTCTTCTTCAGCCGGTTCAGCCGCGCCGCCGCCGCCGCCTTCAGCCGACTGCCGGCCCCGCCGCTCCTCCGCCCGGGCGCCGCCGGCCGCGGGCCCCGGCCCGGCGCGGGCGGCGGCTCCGGGTCCCCACAGAAGCAGTCGCTCAGCTCCGCGTCCAGGTCCCAGTCCGGCCGGGCGGCCTCCAGCAGGTCTCCCAGCTCCAGCCCCGGGAACCAGTCCTCTTGCTCCCACACCTCCAGCGGGCCGCCGGGCGCCTCGGCCTCCTTGTCCTGCCGCCGCGGCTCGGAGGCGCCCGGGGGCTCCCGCCGCGGCGGCGGCTGCGCTTTGGGCCGCGCGGGGCCCGGGTCCCCTTCCCCGCCGCCATCGCGGCCTCTCGGGGCCTGCCCCGCTGCGGCCAGCGGCCAGACGGCGCCCGAGGGGCTGGCCCCGCCGGCCGAGGGGCTGGCCCCGCCGGCCGAGGCCGCCAGCAGCTGCGTGAGGCTGTGGCGCATGGCGCGGGCAGCGCCCGGCGGCGCGGCGCGAGCGAGGGCGGCGGCGGCGCGAGGCTGCGGCCCGGCGCTGCCGCCGCGGGGCCTGCCGGGAGCTGCGCGCGGGGGGGCGCCTCGCGACTGCGCCCGCGCGCGGGAGAGCGGCGGGTGGGCGTGGGCGGGAGCGCTTACCGAGGGTGGGAGGTGTAAACATTGCCTTGAGACGGGGCGCTCCGTGGCGGGCGAGCTTTGTGTACTTTCAGACAGAGACCCGAGAAACAGGGAGCAGCCAGCGAGCTCTGAGGGATCTCCAGGTGTTAGAAGGACGAGTTAACTGTCGCCAGAATTGCCTTGTTAAGGTTTAGGGCTCAGCGTGTTTCAATGACCTCAGACCTAGGAGGAGGTTAACAGAGCTTGGGAAGAGGGATGTACTGCTGATGGCGGACGCAAAGAATGCAGAATTTACGGGACACAAGGACATCTGGCAGAATTCCCACGATAATGAATAAATCAATAAACCAAACTCGGCAATTGTGCTACATCAGCTCCGACTGGGTAAAACAATTCCAGCAGGGGGAGATCCCTAACCACCAACTCACGGACCACCGACCCCAAAAAAAGAGAAAGATTGAGCATGCAAACTAATTAGCAAGAGAGACTCATTAACTGATAGACTACTAATTAATAAGAGAACTAGGTAACTTTTAGCTTGTAATACCTATTCCCTTGTTTGCTAAAACGTATAAATAGTAAAAAGTGTTGATAGTCAGTGTGTTTGATTTGTGGAATACCACCGAGCATCCAAGCTTTGCAACTCTGAAATAAATGAATGTCTCACATGTGTAATTATTGTCTTGTTGCTCCCCAGGTAACAAATACGATTTTTGTGGACAGCGGGTGACAGGTGTGTGAGGCTGGGGGTGCGAGGGGAGGTGTGTGTGGTTTGGGTGGCGAGAGGTGTGTAGGAAATGCGGGTGTGCAGGAGGGGTGCGTGTGATGGGCTGTGAAGGAGGGAATGGGGGCAGTGACAAGGGGTTTGCATGTGAGGGAGGAGGGGGAAAGGTCTCTCACACTTAGCCATTGCCAAAGGGTGGGAAGGGGGATGTTCCTGAAGAGTGCAGAATGTGGGGTCTTTCCCACCACACCCCTTGGCTGGAGCTGGGGCAGAGGCTGTTCTGTCACACAAGAGAGCAGGTGTCCTCTGGCCAGATTTGGAGTATTTAGGCACCTGGTTTCAGGGTCTCTTGCAGTGACCAGAGGGCTACAGATGCTCCTCATTGCCTATGGACTAATTCAAACAGAGCAGCCAGCTCTCAGACCAAGGGTGTAGTGGGTAACGTGAGCAGCTGGGGTTTACACTGTAGCTGTCATCACTGAGATTAACTAAATGTGTGTGGGATGGACACCACGGAGCAAGGAAGCATGGTTAAAAAGTAGGAGAATGTGGTCTATAAGACACCTGTGGAATGACACTTGTAGGAGGCAGATCAGAAGAAATGCTGTGGTTCGTCACACAGCAGGTAGTAGAGCAATACTTCTCACCTGGCTTTGTATGGGTTCAAGGGCAGTCCAGAGAAGTTCAGAGGAAAGGTTGCTAGCAGCTGCTGCTTATGTAGTTAGAATCGCAGAATGGTTTAGGTTGAAAGGGACCCTAAAAATCACCTAATTACACCTCCCCTGCCTTGAGCTGGTAAACCTTTCACTAGACCAGGTTGCTCAGAGCCCCATCAACCTCAAACTGAATGCTCCCAGGGATGGGATCATCCACATCTGGGAATGTGTACCAGAGAGAACCTGGGAAACCTGTGCCAGAGCCAGGTCTAGTTCAGGCAGTCCTTGAGACTGGCCTCCAGACGTGCTGCTTCCAGTAATTTCTATAAATGACCTCAATAGATACCAACTCTGATACTGTACTGTGGCTTATAGTTACCCAGGACCAAGAAATACTCAATCCAATTCCTAAATTCTTGAGTTATCCCCAAGCATGGGGGATAGAACTTGAGGTACTTTGGAAGTGGCTGCCCACAGCCCAGGTGGAGGATTCTGTTTGGCCCCTCATGGTGGATGTTTTCAGGTTTTGGGGTGGGTTTTTTTGTTGTTGTTTTTTTTGTTTGTTTGTTTTTTGGTGGGTTTTTTTGTTGTTGTTGTTTTTTGTTTTTGTTTTTGTTTTGTTGTTGTTGTTGTTGGAGACTTAGAGAGCAGGAGGTGAAATTCAGCAGCAAAAAACTTCCTTCATGTCTCCTAGGCAAGAGAGAGTGGGAGGTCTTCAGATCACACAGTGCTGACAGGAAAGATTTTTCTTATTATCAAAAGCTGCCAGATGTGCACAAAATGGAAAGTGTATCACTAATATTTATCTGCAGGAAAAAGCTATAAACAGGAAAAAAAGCCCTGGTGGAACATTTAGAACATTGTCCTGTTCCAAACAACAGATTGAAATCACCCAAAAGACTTGACAATTTATTCTGAGCTGAATGGGGATATAAATACTACTCTGGCATTAAATAGGGTTTAAATGACTGCAGAAAACTGTAAGGCTACTAGAAAACTATAAACAGTAATTTACTTGAGAATCAGTTGTTGTATTATATTATTGGATTAACTGTTAAGTTCCTGAATTTAGAGAATTGCAGAGATTGCAAGGTAGGATTTCTTTCTTGGAGCCTCAGAGCCTCTTATGTGCCCAGCCTCTGTTGAACTTCAAAGCAGAATCAAATACAGAAGGCTAAGAGTTTGAGCTTTTGGTCATCGTGAATAATAAAGTGGTTTTAACAAAAACAAACAAAAAAACAAAAACAAAACAAAACAAAACAAAAAACCCAACCTATGATTCAGCAGAGGTTAGCACTAAATAAATCAAATTAATATTTTATGTTTTCCATCCTAATCGTTCATGTCACAGGTTTGACTGGTTCAATGATCCATGTTCAGAATTAAGAGTGTAGTGACTTACTTTCATAAAGATGTAATGACAGAACTGCCAGTGGAGGAAGGTTTAAGTTGGTGAAGATGGTATAAAGAAACCAGAGCATGGTCCCATGGAGAGGAACAAAATTCAGACACCTGTTACCACAGAGGCACCTGTTGAGAACAGATCAAAAACTGCAGTTATGCATCAAAGTGTTGGAGTTCAACATTCAGAACTCTTTAGTCAGCAAATCCATACTGTGCCTTCTGTAAGCATTGAAGTGCAGCAGGAGTTCATTGTACGCCTGCTTGGTGCATTCTATCTGTCCTTGGAGCTCTTGAACCTTCAGATCTTTGTCTACTGCTGCTGCCTCTTTCTTGAGGAACCTTCCTGCTCTCTTCATGGCTTCCTCCATGGTCTCTAGCTTCTCCTCCAGCTTCTGAATCTCCCACTCTTTATGTTGCAGAGCTTTGCTCCTTCTCCATGGCCAGGTTCAATAGCTGCTCTTTCTCTTCATGTACCCTTTCCAGCTTGGCCTGCAGCTCACTGCCCTGAGCCCTCTGCTGACTCTCTGCTGGCCTGGCCCTTACAGCAGCTTGTTGGTGCCTCTAGGAGTTGCAGCTGCTTCTTCTTCAGTGAAGCCACCTCCTGGGCATAGGCATCTGCTTGTTGGCTCTGAGCTGCCAGCAGCTCCTTCTCTCACTCCTGGGCTCTGTGACTCTCCTAAGCATATTTCTCCTGCAAGGAACATAACTGCTCTGAGAGCTTCCTGGCCTGGGCTGCCAACCGGAGCACTTCAGCTTCCTTCTCCTCACAGCCTTGCTGAAAAGTGCTTCCCTGTCCTGCCACAGGCACTTGCTCTCCTCCCACAGCTGCATGTGCTGGTATTTGTGTTCATTTTTGAACTGGACCATCTTTTCATGGTTTTTGACCAGATCCATGAAGCACCCCTCCAAATGCTGAATACACTGTGTCTGGGTTTTAATTTTCACAGCATCCTCTCCCCTCAGTTTCTCCAGTTCTATGTTGAGCTGCTCCAGGTCTCTGCAGTGTTTGTGTGTGTCATCCACTTTCTTCTTCAGTATAGAGCCAAGATGATGATGCTGTTCTAGGCATGAAAGCAGCAGTACCTCCTCACTCTGCTCCTTAGAGCTCTCACAGAGTTCCTCCAAGTTTTTTGTCAGATCTTCTACTTCCTTGCCTGTCTCTGGATCACCTGTGAAGTCAGCCATTTCTGGTCTGTCTCATAAGTCATGGACCACCTGTCTCATGCAAAGACAAGATAAAATTTTACAGTGGCTGCTTCTGTTAATGACACTCAGCGTAATTAAACTGTGCCCAGTGGTTGTGTGGCCAGCACTGCTGCTGTAAGCTGGTGTTGTTTCTCTGGAAGTCCAGAGGAACTGATGTGAGAGAACAGGACCTCCCAAAACCAACGTCAGTCAGAAAACACACAGGCCTGCTGCCCTCCCCCTCCTCTGGTTCAGAGTCAGGCCCACTGAGACTCAAGGCTGCCAGACTCTCTGAGCAAAAGCAAAGAGTGTGGGCTTAGTATTTATGCAAGCCTATTCATTTGCTGATGACTGGCTTTGCTAATTATTCCTTCTCAAGGCACTGCTGTTGTAGCTACAAGAACTACTATTATATTTAGGTAAAAAGCTTGTAAGTGATAAAGCTGTAAATAATTCCTTACGCAATCCTTTTCCTCTGCCTTTATTTTCTCCTGCAGCTCTGTATTGTAACTGCAAATTAAACACAGAGGGTTACGTCAAACTTTTAATTGATGTGCAAGATTTCTAAGATAGCACATTGCTTGTTAAAAATAACTGAATATCCTTATCCTGTGCTTAGAGATTTATGAATTAAGTACAAGATCTATTCAATGTTAATAATTAGTGAATCCTCTGTGATACAAACCCTCTGTACCTGGAAAAACAGTTCCTCAACTGAGTTTTCACACTGATCTGCTGGATTAATTTAGGCATGTAATTTTAAAAATCTGGTTCTTCATGTAAAAATAAGGAAAATATTTTTATTACATATGCACTAAATTGATTACTAGTGCTGAATCATAGAGCATGCTACCCAGACATTTGAAATATTAGGCTACAACTCATCTACAAGTTTTTCATTTGGATGCAGACCTGAGACCAGCACATGGATAACCAGGTTATTTTGTGAATTCCTGAGCTTTGACTAGAGGTAAAGATAGGATGCTGAAGGAGCCAGCTTAAACTAAGGATGAAAGATAATGTACAACATAAATGAATAAACACCTGTGAAGCACAAAGAATTTCAGAGCTGTGTAGTAGCGACTGCAGTACAGATACCAGCTCTGCCTCTGCCATCCTGCACTCTGGCACTGCTGTTGCTACCTTGGATCCTTTGCAAATAATGGAGGAGAGGGGGAAGGACTGAAAGTTTTTGGCCATATAGTGGAAGTACAACAAAGAGCAGGGTTTAAAAAGAGGAAATTATTTTCTCACCAGGTATTTTCTTCCTGATGTCTGTTTGCTGTCTCTCCTATTGTGAGGCTCTGTTTCCATAGAGGTAAGACGCTGAATCCAGTCACTCCAGAGCTCATGACCTCACCCGGCTGCTTGGAACCAGGCCAGCCCCACCAGGGTGGCTGAAAGAGCTGGCAGTGTTTCTTAGCAAACAAACATTGCTGACACTCTCAAAAGCACCCAGATTTGGAAAAGGAAAGAGAATTTCCACACGCTTGAAGAACTTGTTCTCAGCTTACATCCTGCACATGCCAGAATCAGAATAGCAGTCTCTGACCTCAGAACACACTGAAGGTCCATGGAAAGTAAAGACAGACCTTGCCCTGAACAACTCACAGCTTTATCTAGCAGCTAATAAAAATCTGGCAGACAGGATAGGAAAGGGAAAAATAAATCCAACCGGAAGAAAAAGTTAGTGCAGGTTTTGCTGAATCCTCTGGAAAGGGATACAAAGGAGAAAGAAGAGAGTGCTGTGGGTAACAGACGTGAAGCACACAAGGTGAGGGCACAGGATGTGTTTCAAAATGGATAAAACCAAAGCAATGGGAGCTGCTGCACCAGCTCAGGTTTGCAGCCTTTCTTGCAGCAATGGGAGGTTTCTGAACACAGAGTACAAAAGAAGAGCTGGGACTTTGAAGCCTGGTTTATAGCAAGTGAAAACTGTAATATAGAACATATACATATGTGTATATATGCATATACACATATACGTGCTAAAAAAAAAAAAAAAAATCATGGGCTAAAAGAAAGATGAACTTGTCACATGAAGGAGAAGAGAGGAAGGCACTGTTGTGTTTCTCCAGACAAGAATGAATATACATAAAGATATTTTAGGAGTGTGGCTGCTTTGATTCTTAATTCCAGTTCACCTTTATGATGAAGCATAGCTATTAATTTATCAAAACTGCCCTTTAATGAGTAGCTAATTACGGACCTTTAAAATTTTGGTTTTGGATGACTAAAGGATGCCTTGAGAACAAAGTAAGTAGTTTCTTGAAACTTTTTGTCTTAATCAACTTCCCAATTCACATTTCTCTATCAACATATTATCATACTATTGAAGTTAGGGATTCTGTACACAATGAAAAGAAAGGTATTAAAAACTGGGAAGGAAGGTATTAAAAATGGGGGAGGGACAATTTTGGTTACTTGTCTCAGTTTCTTGGCTAACCTAGATGAGTACATGTACCTCTATGTCATTAGATAATCAAACTAGTTAATTACAAGTGCAATGTCTACGTGAATCTTGCATTCATGTTAAGGTAGCTTTTCAAAATTTGAAGTTTGGTCTATTAGTGAAGTAATATGCAGAGTCTTTTGAGATACCAGAAAAATTCTGTGTCAGTCTCTAGGAGGGCTAGAAGAATAGCAAGATATAAAGTGCCTTCTACTTGATCAGAAGACAAAGAGATTGTCACTGTCACAAAGAAACATTTTGTTTTGATAGTGGTGAAATTTAGCTATAAAAATTTTGTATAGAAGACAGCAGATTACATGACACTTGTGGCCTACTATTGAGCAGCCCCTCAATAGTGACTTCTGATTCTGAGTTAATTGCTGGCTTTAAGGGTCCTACAAATTTGGAGGCAAGACCTGGGCAAGTCCTGCAAATGACCCCATCTCTACAATAGGACGTAAAGCTGATTTGACTTCATAATGTATTTGATCTTCACAGGAGATAAACTGCAACAGAAGCATTAATTCTGTGAAACTGGTCATGTTCACAGCAACCTATATTTTCAGATGAAAAATTTATTCATATAGGGACTGAATACAAATAAATTCAGTGACTCTTTTTTCAGTATCACCATCCTTTCTGGAATGACTCTTCAAAAATGTAGAATCAAAGCAGCATCTGTACCAATTTTGGTAAAAAGACATTGTTCTGAAGTGCCATGTGCACGTGTTCCCTAGTCAAAAAGTGTTTTGTATATGTCTGGCAGAGTGGAAGTTGTAGCAGTTACTAATCTCATACGAACCACCTGAAGCAGGAAGACATCAAAGACTGGCAAACTACTTTTGACATTTTTAAACTCCACAGTCTGTCTGGCTGATGAGAAAGAAAGTGGGTTCCCTGGGAGACTGAAGAGCATCTTTCCTTTTTTTCCATTCATAGTGTATAATAAATATACCAAGTAGCATTTAAATTTCTATTATTAAATCAAGCAATTGCATTAGCACTGTGAAGAGCTCCCTTCTCCCCTCTTCTCTAACTGAAGTGAAATATTTCACCAGCTTTTAGACCTAGCTGGAGTAAATAACTGTACATTTATTTTCAAAAATGTTTTCTGTCTGCATTTTGTTATATTGCACGCTGAATGGCTAACATAAAGCACTAGCATTTAACAAAAACTGAATTCTAATTTAGTATAAATAGGCTGCATTTATTTACAAAAAAAAAAAAGAAAACAAAAGGAATTTATTTTGTATTTCATGTATTTCTCTACTAGTAGCATGCATTTCTACAAGTTAAAAACTCCAGTCTTATTTCCTATGCCTCAAAACCAAGCAAAGCCCACCACAGTCCTCGCAGTGTCCTAACGGTGGCGCTGAAGCACAGGTAAGTTCACTTTTTGCAAAAAAAAAAACCCCAGGCTAATGGATACAGGTACAAACAAGTGCACTTTGGAGAATAAATACCCAACATCCTTCTCATCACTGAAATTGGCACATTTAGATCCTTTTGAGTAGCACTGGAATAAAAAAAAGTTTCACCTTCTCATCTTCAGGACTTAAGACTAAGTATTGTATGCTAGCAAGAAGATCAACACATATATTAAGCAAACCTTTTATAACCCTGATTTTTTACAGTACGTTGGAACTAAGTCCTCTGCACCTTGTAGAATAGGACATCAGCAGTACCACTCCATGCCACTCTTCTTTCATTGGGGAAGTAGCTTTCATGTCCAAGAAATGTACAATTACAACTAGAGGAACTTTGAAAAAACAAAATTCTTTAAGCCATATTCCATGCTGGTGAGATCTAACATGGAATAATGAGGATACAAATACATACCAATGAGCTTTAACACTAATGTTGCTGTCTTATCAGTAAGACTTCATGAACAATCCAAGCAATGTACAGAAACAGCTGACTTGCTCTTATATTTCTGCTGGTTATTTGGATCATTTAAGGGACCATCAATGCTTCAGTTAGACAACACAGTCATCCTGATATCACAGCTACCTCTAACGCAGAGTTCTGTATGCACCTTCTTTCTTTAAGTTGTTTTCAGTGAATAAGAACTTTTAAAATCCCTACAATTTACATAATTATCTACAAGCAGATGTTTGAAATACAAAGTGACATCTGACAGCACAAAACCAGAACAGTAACAGAGCAGAAACTGTCAAAAATGATACTACTGTGTTCCTCTTCCAAGTTCCACCCCCATGCTTTCAATTTAATTTCCAAGGTTTTTTTTGACACTAACAAATAAAAAATCCACCTCATTTTGTCAATTTTGCAACCATAAGCATCCTGAGAGGTAGTGTATCTTCTATCCAGGTGTTTGGAGAGTTCATCATCTTCTGCCAAAGGGCAGTTTCATCTGAAGTAGAATCCATCCAATCTACTATAGTTCCATAGCTTTTGCCTAGAAAAATGTCAGTTTTAAGAGAAAAATTACTTAATCTGCTGCAGA